AATTTTGGGAGGGGTAACAAAAACACGTTTTTGCTTTCCATACAGAGGGAGTCGGTCTAATGTACATACATATGTATCAAAAATTTAGAATTATTACCTTATAATAAGATAATTTTCAGGGAGTCTGTATTAATATTCCAACTGCTGACTGGTATACTTCCAAAAATTGTAAAACGTTGGACTCTAAAATATTTTTGTAGTTCTTCATCAATTTTATGATTAATCCATCAAATTGTAAGAGTTATATTATGGAACGCATTAATCCTTCAACGAAATAAACCAAAATAATGTTATAATTAATATTGAATATACATACTTTTGTATTTATTGAAATTAACAGTTATACTTTAGGAAGCAATAAAAATAGGATTCTCTCATGTCCAATACATTTACCACCAAAGTTTAAACGGTCAGATCCATTTTTTACATTTTCTGCAAATAATCGACATTTTTAGTAGAACCACGTGATGAAATAAGACATTTATAACTTACCAGATCCCTTTTTTATATTTTAATTCAGTTAGAAGTATTTTAATATTAGCTACTGCTTTCTAAAAAATAAAATAATTAAAAATTAATTAATTTATTTATTTATTGTTTTGAATCAATAAAAACATTACCTTTCATGAACATTTTTTCAATAACTTGGAATTAAACCGTCTATAAAGATCTGAAATTACTAAGTCATGGATTATTTTTTAAATTATTTACAGTCACTAACGATAGAAACACCTTAACGACCCTAAACGGGATATTGCTTTTGACATTTTTTGTTTGCTCTCTTCTAATACTTAGGTTCAATATCTATATGGAAATTAATAAAATTGTATTTATTTAAAAAAGGTGGGTTTAAAACTATCTGATTTCAATATTAAATATCTTATATGGGCAATTTCGTGTCGAGTGACCCAAGTCAAAAAATAATTTATGTATAAAACAGTAGTATTAATTTCAATATAGTGATTCCAGACTTAAACGCGCAAATAGTTTTAAAAATATTGAAAGTTAAGATTTAACTCAAATAAATCTAAATATGTTAAAAATGCAATGTTCATCAAATGAAAGCCGATGTTCATCCTAAACGAATTAAGAGAGAGTCGAAATTTAATATAAAAACATTTTTAATGAAACATATTAGACTTTTTTAAAAATAATGGAAATGGAAGCCGTTTAGAGTTGTTAACATATTCCTAAAATAGTATTTTAATATGACAACTTACTTTTTAATTTTATTTATATAATCCTTCCTTATACTTTTTGGTATATATTTAATAAACTTCGTCAATTAAGAAAACCTTCTTAAATGTTTATTAACAGTTGATTTTTAACACAACATTGTCATATTGTTTTTTATTACTTAAGATTCACAATATTTTAATTACACTATTTTTCTATGAACATTAAATTCAAGAACTCATTTAAGTTTTACGATGAATAATTAAAACTGAACATGACTGAACAAAACACAAAACATCACTGAACTTAACAAAATTTCTGCATTATTTATTTTTATTTTTTCACGCTAAAAAATGGAGTATTTATATTTTTTGTTTTTGTACTCTTCTTACTATCATCCGGAAGTAACCTAAAAGTATACTTCCAGACGGCGAAAACTAGAAATCAATGTATTTTGTTTTTGTAAAATGTGTGCTCTCGTCTGACAATTGTACAGAAGTGACTACAATCCACACTTCCAGATGAATAAAATACAACATTAATGTGAACACTCTTCAAACTGTCTTCCAGAAGTGACATAAACATACAAATCAAGAAGATACAAATTAGGAAACAATGTATTTTGTTATTGTAAAATGTGTGTTCTCACCCAACTCTCATACAGAAGTCACTAAAACGTATACTTCCAGATGAAAAAAATTCAACAGGCATGGTTTTTTGTTTAAGCAAAATGGATGCACTCTTCTAACTATCATCCGGAAGTAACTTAAAAGTATATTTCTAGAAGACGAAAATTCGAAATCAATGTATTTTGTTTTTGTAAAATGTGCGTTCTCGTCTGACAATCGTCCAGAAGTGTTTCTGACGTGGCGTCTGGGGTGATGCGCAATAGTTTTCTCTTTTAAATGTTTGAAGGGTATGTATACATAAATACAAACATATTTACATGTATGGAAATGTATGTATGTATAACCATGTTAAAATTTCTGTGCCAATTTGTAATTTTCTAAATCTTTTTTTTTGCACATTTTTAATTTAACATGAAACATTTTTAAAAAAACAAAAGCAGAAATAATGGAAGCATGAACGTAGTACAATGTTCTAATAAATATAAAAAGAATGAATGAACCTAATTTTTGAGGTTTTAGTTTGGAATTTGTTTTGTTGTCATGCTTTGTTGTAGTGAAACGATATAAAGTTGTTGGAAATGAAAATTGATTATCATGGTCCTTATGTCGTATTAAAATATAATTTTTGGCCTATTAAAAAAATATTGTTTTAAATATATGTATGTATATAAAAATCAAAGGGCTGTGTTTCTTTAACCTTTTTTTTTGGGGAAAATATCTTTATTCTCCAATTAGTAAAAGAATGATTTATTTTAAATATAAAAATATTAAATTTAAAAAATTTTGTTAAATATACATTTCTTTGTATTTAATTGTTTAAATTAGTTAAAATATAAAAAAACACAAATCCTTTTATAAACCCTTATACCCTTCGTGGGTATAAATTTTTACTTGAAAGAAACGACTATAGGAGTTTAAGTTATTAATATGTTCATAACCTTAAAGTAAGGTATTTTTTAAATTGTCACCTACGGAACTGTTACTGTGCAAATACTTTGAAGTCGACACTAGTTCTATAGGATGGCTCTGGAAGCTTTACAGAACATATACCCCAAAAAAACGGTACATAAATTTCTGATCAATGTTCCGGAAAAATATGGACGGTATATTTTGTAGATGGTAATATGTATAGCAAAATTAAGATAAATATTTCGGAGACCTAGAATTATACGTTTGTGCTGATGTTTGTAACGTACAAAAATATCTTAAAGTCTACCGATCGACTCAGATGCCTATTGAAAATGGTTGAAATCGGTCCATTATTTCACCTAGCCCCATATAAGCTGACCTTCCGATTTCGGTTTTTAAGTTATAACTACGTAGGTTTGTTATGCTGAATTTCATTGCGATACTAATGGTTATAAGTAAATTTTTGGACGTTTAAGATATTGTTTAAAGGGGGGTTTATATGGGGGCTAGAGTCAAACGACGGCCGATCGCTATAAAAATTGGCATGGTCATTTATGCTTATATAAAACTTAGTTGTGCCAATAGAAATAGTACTATATTTGACATAGTTATGTTTCGGAAGATCAGGTTGTATGGGGGCTAGTTGAAATAATAAAACGGTTTCAACCATTTTCAATAGGCATCGTCCCTGTGCCGTATGGTCCAAATTTTATCCAAATGTCTTGAAAATTGTGACCTGTAGCTTGCGCACAAGGTTTACATGGCCAGGCAGCCAGCTAGCTGGACAGACAGACGGACGGATATGTCTTAATCGACTCAGAAAATGATTCTGAGTCGATCGGTATACATACTTTAAGGTTGGTGTAGGACTAATATTTTAATACATTACAAACATCAGCACAGGGTATAATATATGTAGGGTATAAAAATACATCTCTCCTCCTAATTTGTTGAGGATCGGTCCATATTTGACCCTTACTCCCACATAAAGCCTCTTTATGAAAAATAAATAATTTTTAAAATATATGCCCTACTATACTTTCTTACTTGTTTGATATACCTATTGTCTGTCCGTGAGTTATTTACGATTCAAGAATTTTGGGATATTGACTTTATCTGGGAGCTATTGCTAATTATGGGCCAATCCAAATCAATTTTCACAGAACGATTTTATATACAGTAGGACCTTGATTATCCGTAATTCGATTATCCGGCAACATCAATTATCCGGGATGGAAAAAGAAAATTTTTTGTATCGACTTAATTTTATTTTGGATTGACTTAAATTTGCTTGCATCGATTAACCGTGATTACCTCTATTATCCGTGATTATTAGCTATTTTTTTCTATTGTTTTTGAAGAAATAAGTGGAAAAGGGGAATTGCCTATTTAGTATACGATGAGTCAGAAGCATACATTTAAACCTGTTTAGTATAATTTAGAAATTTGAGAAGTGCGGTTTGTTAGAGTTTATTTTTACAATGTCATCTTTATCAGTGGAAAAAAGAAAAAGAAAAGTCTTAAATATTGAAGACAAACTTAGACCGGGTTTTTGAGTTGGCAATCAAATGCCAATTAATAATTAGATTAGTTAATCTAAAAATAAATTTAATCCGATGTTAATACCATTTGATGTTTTTGAGTACAAGATTAAACTTCGCAGTGTTGCCATACAAAACAACAAAAAACGTCACTGTTTGTTATAAAAACAATGCATGTTTTTTTTAAAAAGAAGAAGAAAATTTAATATGAAAATTAATGAAAACTTAAATTTAAAACAAAAAAATGTATTTTGAAGTGTCCGTAATTTATTCTAATCAATAAATAGAACATTTTAATGTTTATTTTTATAAAAATTGTATTAATTTTTTTGCATCAGCTGTTTACACATTTTAATTTTTTGCTCAAGTTTAAACCACGTCCATTGGGCGCTTAAACTTGCAAACAAAATTAACTAATTGAGTACTCAAAAACAACTTTCGAGGATTAAATTTAATTTAATCGCTAATCTTTCACCTAAAGATTGGCCTTAATGTAATTAATGATCATTTAAAAAACAATGTTAGTGTTAAAATTCTCTCACAAAAATACGGAGTGGGGATACAAACAGTTTATGACATTTTAAAAAATAAGGAAAGACTTTTAAAATTTTGTTCAGAAAGTGATTCTGTAATTGGTTTTCGAAACCGAAAAGCTTTAAAGTCTGCTGAAGAAGCAAAAGTTGATTTCGCAGTTTATGAATGGTTCCGACAAGAGCGATTTAAAGGGACTCCAATTTCTGGGCTAATGGTGAAGGAAAAAGCTAAAATATTCCACTCAAAATTAGAAACAAATTCAGAGTGTGAATATTCTAACGGTTGGTTGCAGAATTTTAAAAAGCGACATGGAATACATAAACTTCGTGCTGAAGGAGAAAAATCTTCAGCAGATTATATTGCTGCCACAATGTTCGTGGAAAAATTAAATGAATACATATTAACGGAAAAACTTACCAATGAACAAATTTACAACGGAGATGAGACAGGCCTTTTTTGGAAGTGTTTACCTGAAAGCAGTTTGGCTTGCCATAATGAAAATTTCATAGATGGTCATAAGGTTTCAAAAGAGAGAGTAACCACATTACTTTGTGCTAATGCTGCCGGTACACACAAGTGCTCGTCCAAGAGCATTAAAAAATGTCAAAGATCTTCCCGTTATTTATAAGGCAAATGAAAAAGCTTGGGTAACACAACAAATATTTTTAGAATGGTTTAAGAATAATTTTGTACCAGAAGTGAGAGAGCATTTTAAAAAAATCGGTCTAAAAGATGATAGTAAAATACTTCTGCTATTGGACAATTGCCCAGCACATCCAGACTCAAAGGATTTCAATGCTAAAAATGTTATTGTAAAATTTTTTCCACCGAATTGCACGTCTTTGATCCAACCGATGGATCAGGGTGCAATATGGAGCTTTAAATGCCACTACCGAAAAACTATAGTACAAAAACTAGTCACAACAAGCGATAGCGAAGAATTTAAGAAGACATTCAACATCAAAAAAGCACTGTGGTCAATTGATAATGCTTGGAACGCTGTTACTTCTGCAGTTTTAAAAAATGTGTGGAATAACTTGTTCTGCCCCGAAAATGAAGGTGTGTCCGAGGTTTAATAAAATCTATTTGTTTAAAATTTTATTAGTTTTTATTACAGACTCGGAATTAATGGATACACTCCAGTCAAATAACAAATATTACATACGATTTTACTACTGAGGATATAGAAACATGGCTGTTCTATCCGATGAAGAAATTATACGCATGATAAATTCCTCTGATGAACCTGAGCAAGAAAATAGGTTGGAAGAATCTGATGATGATATAATTGTTTCAAAAATTACTTTAAAAGAAGCAATTAATGCAACCAGTACATTGTTAGATTTCTTGGAGAGCCCTGGATGTTCTTGAATTACAGAACAAGATAAAATCCAAATGTACCATATCCAAGAAAATCTTGTAAACGAAAATACAAAATTGAAAAAGAAGAGACAAACAACATTACATGATTATTTTTAGAAATTATATAACATGAAATCCTTATCTACTGTTCACTGTTTTTATACAGATATGTACATATTAATTTATTAATTAATAAAAATATCTATTAAAAACCAATACAAAATTGGAACTCAATTAACCGGGAAAATCGATTATACAGAATGCTTCCGGTCCCGACCATCACGGAAAATCGAGGTCCCACTGTATATAAAATTCTATTTAAATTCTATTCCGATATCATTATTAGTTCATGGGTTATTAACGATTAAGTGAATTTTGGAAGTGGATCTTCAGTAGGTGCCAATTATGGATCGACTTTAAGCAAATTTTTATTAATGATTTGTACATACTATATATGTTCAGAGCATATTTGTGTCGAATTTTTTCATTATACAGTAATGAGTAATTCTCAATTAAGGGATTTTCAAAAGAGTATTTTATATGGAATCTATTAATAATTTTGGGGTGATCTGCTGAAAATTGTAAGGATTGATTTATATATAAAGCAAAGTGACTAATTAACAGGCTTGGGGGGTAATGATTACATTTTAAATTACAATTACATTAGAAGTACTTGAAATTGAAGATTTACCAATTACAATTATTTGTAATTGAAATTTTGCCAATTACAATTACTTGTAATTGAATTTCCAATTACAATTACATTAGAAGTACTTGTAATTGAAGATTTGCCAATTACAATTATTTGTAATTGTAATTGAAGTTTTGCAATTACAATTACTTATAATTGTAATTGAAGTTTTTCCAATTATAATTACTTATAATTGTAATTGAAGAATTTTCAACTACAATTACTTGTAATTGTTAATTTTGTTCCTTATAATTACATTTTATTTATATTTAGTAATACATTAATTACAATTACAAGAAATTTTAATTTAATTACAATTGCAAGTAATTGTAATTGTAATTGACCATGTAATGACTTACTTTGTGTAATCATTACCCCTGCTGCCTGCTAATTAAAGACCTATCCTGAAAAAAATTACCTGAATAATTTGTATATTGCTGCTGCATTTTGTTAATGAAGAATGTTCGTTTTATTAATTTTTGAAATTGGATCCACGTTTTAGTTGATAATAGGATCTACTGACGTTAGATTTATACGTGGAAGATTTCATGGTAATACGATATTTTAGAGAGAGTTATTGTCAATTAATGCATTTTTTGGTAATATGTACATTTGTATGGTTCTATATGAAATTTGGAACCGATTTTTTTGGAAACAATGAAGCAATAGATATCTGACAATTTTAGAAAACCAATAGAAAAGTTACACTCGTTTAAATAAAACTCTGTATGACTAAAATGTCCAACTTTGACGCCCCACAGTGGTAAAGGAAAAAAAAAAGAGGGAAATAATTCGGTAACTTCTAAACGGTTAATCCGATTTTAATGAAATTTGGTATGCACAAAGAGGAGGTGTTGTCGAGTTTAGGTTTTGAATTTGGACCTTATAGGCCAACCAGGGGCCCGGCGGGGGGTCCTCAAATTAGGACACCTCGGCTATGTTAAATTTTTAAAACGATCCTATTTCTTCATTTGAGTTCCGATTTAAAAAAAATTTCGTATATAGAATCTCCTCATCGAGCACTATAAAAAATGTCGTCGTAGCAGTAAATTATCTCTTATAGTTTAGGAGATATTCGCATTTGAATATTAAAATTTTAAAATTTTTACCGTCCTTACTTTAGTTTTTTTGATAATAGCAGGTCCAAATATTTCCGATTTTCGCCATTTTTTTTATTTGCTTAACAACAAGTTTATATACCAAGCAGTGAAAGAATTATGTAAAAATCATGACTGAGTCCAAAGTTATAGGCATTTAAATTTAAAAAATTAAAAAAAGGCGATTTTTTGAAATTTTTTTGGGAAAAAAGTATCTTTTTCTTTTTAAGTTATCTAAAAAGTTTCTAAGAAGATGTATATAGAATTTATACTTTACATAAAATACGATAAATGAAACAAAACCTAAAAATTTTTGATACCGAGGGGACCAGGTCCATCCAAAAAAACCCTATTTTTTATGGAAAATTAAATTTTGAGCAAAAATTCTCAAATCGCATAGTCGATATCAAATTATAGTGACCTGTTTTATATGACCCAATAAGTTCTTAATCATTTTGTAACGGGTTTCGATAACCCCGCCCCTGGTATGGATATAATAGGCAAAAAACCAAAAAATCCCATTTTTGGGATTTTTAAAACTTTTTTGGGAATTCCGGGATTTCTAATAAGAAAATTCGAAATTTTTATTTAATTTTGGATTTTGAGTAAAAAAATCTACCTAACTGTAAAATTTCATCAAAAAATATTCATAAATAAAATTTTTATTGCAATTTGAAAAATTTGTATCTTCGCAAAAACTGAATAAAAAACATTTTTTAATTTTTTTTAAAAAAAGTATTCCGCGAATTTTTTAATTTTCAAAAATTATATACAGTTTTGAAAAATAGACAAAATTACCTTTCCATTGATATATAACATGCCTACCTAATGTTTTTTAAGTGACAAATTAATTAGGGAAAACTCAACATCTTTTAGAAAATTTACCTAGCACTATTATATTCATCCATATATGTAACAAATTTAAGAGTTAACCTTATGGATGAAAATAATAGTGCTAGGCAAATTTTCTAACTTAGACTTAGAGGGCGCGCCCTCTAAGTCCGATAGTTCTGACTGATAGAGTATAAAAATCATTTCTGCCACCATTGTGCAAATATATCCACTTATCAACTTTAAAAATAAACATTTTGATTTAATATTGACTTATTATTTGCTGTGAATAATTAAAATAAAACGATTCTTATTGCTCTTCTTTGTTTTATTACAGATCAAATAAAATTTCTTAATTTACTCAAGTTGTAATAAATTACAAATAAAATTTTAAGTGTTTCACACAACAAAACTATATAGAGGAATTTTAATTGAAAGATGACTAAATAAAAACATCAATAAACAACAACAAATTGTTTACCAGCAATCAAATAAATACAAATACTAAAACAAAATAAATAAAATAAAACTAAATTATTGAAATACCAAATTTACTTAAATATTTATTGATATTTAAATTTTCAATTAAACTTAAAGAATAAAATCAACAACTAAACAAAAAGGAAACTCTTAAATAAATTATTAGAGAAAATCATCAAATAGAAAGTAAAACAGTAATTAAACATTAAAATATATGAAAAAAAATAAAAATCTTGTTTTTAATTAAACACGGCAAGAAATAAAAATATACAGGATTAAACCAAAAGCCATAATTTAAAAGCAGAAAAGCGTTAACGAAACGGAAAGAAACACAACTTAAAAGTGATAAAAACGAAACAAATTTCTATTTGAAAAAAAAAAAATAAATAAATAAATAAAAAATAGATTTAAAGTGGTTTTTGTTGTTCATGTTATCAGTGAAACACAAAACAACGTCTGACTTCAAGAGCAAAACAAGCGGAAACGGAAATCTAAAATCAACAAACAGTATCAGTGCACTCACACCACTAACTGCAACAATACAATACAATTGCCGTTTTATATTGAAAACCTAAATATTTACATTGACAAATGTTTTTGTTGTGTTTTTCTCTTCAAAAGATAAAGTTATTTTTAAAAAAATAAATTTTAAATTTGATTTAAAATAATAAAAATACAAAAATTACAAAACCTGTGAAAAGTTCTCATCAACATAAATTACATATAAATTAATAAAACATAATTTTATGTTTTTGTTTCCTCATCATATTATTCAATTTAAAAATAAATGCTCTAATTACAACACTCACTCACTGTGTTGTCGTTGTAGTTTTCTACCATTTGCAAAAAGGTAAGTCCGTTACAATATTTTCATTACATTTCAATTTATTTATACTTTTTTTCTTGTTCTTGTTTTGCTTTGTGTTGCAATGTAGCCACCAACACCATCAAATCGTTAAATACTCAAACTGCAGTTGCTGTTGCTATTGGATTTGTTTTTGACTATTTCATTTTTGTATTTTAAATTTTTCATATTTTTAATTGCAAAATATTTTTCGGTATTTTCATATTAAAATCATAATTGAAATATGGTACGTTGATTATAATATAAATAAAATTGTTAAAGTGTTTGTAATTGTACAGAGTTATACTGTTTAATTTGTTGAT